CAGAAACACAGACACACAGACACACTAACACACGGACACACAGACACACAGGCAACCAGACACACAGATACACAGACACACAGATACACAGACACAAAGAAAGACAGAACAAAAAACACACACACACAAGCACAGGGACACACAGACACACAGACACGCAGACACACAGACACAGAGACCCACAGACACAGAGACACACAGACACACAGACACACGGACACTCAAACACACAGACGTACAGACACAAGGAAAAACAGAAATACAGAAAACCAGGCTCACAAACACACAGACACACAGACACACAGGACAAACGGACACACAGACACACAACCACACAGACACACAGACACACACACACACAGACGCACAGACACACAAACGCCACAACACACCGACACAGCCAGTTGCAAACAACCACGCGCGCACACAGAACACACGAACACACACACACACACACCGGCCACACACACACACACGCACGCACACACCCACAACCGCGCCCACACAAACGCACACACAAACACACACAGACAAAAACACACACGCACACACACACACACGCACACGCACGGACACCCGCACACAAACACCCAATCACAGCCCGAACGAAAACATTTGCACAAGCCCTCGCGCGAGCCGCACCGACTGCCACACCCAACGCACATTCAAGATGCAAGCGTAACGTCCGCACATATCGCACGCCGCGCGCGCAGGCACAAACGCGCACACACGCACACACATTCATACAAACACACACACACACACGCGTAGACAGACACACACACACACACACGCACACGCGCACACGCACACACACACACTCACACACACACACACACCACGCACACACACGCACACACACACGCACGCACACGCACAGACACAGGGAGACACACGCCCCCCCACCCACACACACACACACTCACACACACACACGCACACGCACGCACACACACACACTCACACACACATACACACACACTGACACACACACATACACACACCCACACACACAGCCACGGAGAGACGCCCGCGAACACACACACACAAACGCACAAACACACCGACAGAGCCAGTTGCAAACAACCACACGCGCACACAAAGCACACGAACACACACACACACACCGGCCACACACACACACACACGCACACACACCCACAACCACGCCCACACACACACGCACACACACAAACACGCACACACAAACAAAAACACACACGCATACACACACACACACACACACACACGCACACGCACACGCACAGGCACCGTGTAAAGCACAGGCCAGACGCCAACGCCCACGAACCGAACACGCGCGCACGCCCACGCCAACACGCCACCGACTGCCACACCCAACGCACATTCAAGATGCAAGCGTAACGTCCGCACATATCGCACGCCGCGCGCGCACACACCACACACACACACGTAGACAGACACACACACACACACACACACACACGCACACGCGCAAACGCAAACACACACACCCACACACACACACCACGCACACACACAGACACACACACACGCACACACACACACACGGAGAGACACACGCCCACACACACACAAACACACACACACACGCACACACACACACAAACACACACACACACCCATACACACCCATACACACACAGCCACGGAGAGACGCACGCACACACACACAAACGCACAAACACACCGACAGAGCCAGTTGCAAACAACCACGCGCGCACACAGACACACACGCACACACACACACACACCGGCCACACCGCACGCACACACCCACAACCACGCCCACACACACGCACACACACAAACACACACACACCAACAAAAACACACACGCACACACACACACACGCACACACACGCACACACACACACACGCACATGCACGCACACCCGCACACAGACACTCAATCACAGCCGGAACGAAAACATTTGCAGAAGCCCTCGCGCGAGCGAGCACGCCAAAGACGCACGCGCGAACGCGCAAACAAGCTGCCGCACACGCGCGCGCACATTCAAGATGCAAAATGAGATGCCCCCCCCCCCCAATGCGCACGCACAGGCACGCACACTGACGGACGGACAAACACGCACAACACACACTCCAGATGCAGGCTACAACGGTAATCACACGCAACCGGCCACGCACGCACGCAGAGACACACACACACACACACACACGCCGACCACACCCTCTCACTCTCTCGCACACACACAAACTCCCACACACGCGGGGATGCACACATGCACACGGACGCACACACGTAAAAACACACAAGCCGCCACCCACCCCACCCCAATACACGAAAGCACAGGTGCACGCGGACGCACGCACAGTGACTGAGAGACACACATATACACACAGAAAGGCACACTCGAAATGCGACCTACATCAGTGACCACAAACCTACGGCCACGCAAGCACACACGCACACACACACACACATACGCGCACACACGCACACGCCTACAACCCTCTCAGCAACGCACGCACGCACCCAGCACACAAACACACATAAACACACGCACGCACACACACACACACGCACAGACGCACAGACGCAAACACACCCACACACATACGCACGAACGCGAACACACACACACACACACACACACACACACGCCGTGCAAAGCACCGGCCAGACGCCAGCGCCCACGGGCCGCACACGCGCGCGCGCTCACGCCAACACGCCACCGACTGCCACACCCATCGCACATTCAAGATGCAAGCGTAACGTCCGCACATATCGCACGCCGCGCGCGCATGCACGCACGCGCAGACACACACACACACACACACGTAGACAGACACACACACACACGCATACACGCACACACACACCACGCACACACACACACCGAGCCACACATACGCACAGACACCGAGAGACAGACGCCCCACACACACACACACACACACACGCACGCACGCACACACACACACAAACACACACACACACGGAGAGACACACGCCCACACACACAAACGCACAAACAAACCAACACAGCCAGGTACAAACAACCGCGCGCGCAGACAAAACACACGAACACACACACACACACCGGCCACACACACAGACACACACGCACGCACAAACCCACAACCGCGCCCACACACACGCACACACAAACACACATACACACAAACAAAAACACACACGCACACACACACACGCACACGCACACGCACGCACACCCGCACACAGACACCCAATCACAGCCCGAACGAAAACATTTGCACAACCTCCCGCGCGAGCGAGCACAGAAAACACGCACGCGCGAACGCGCAAACAGGCTGCCGCACACGCGCGCGCACATTCAAGATGCAAAATGAAATGCCCCTCCCCCCCCACCCCATGCACACGCACAGGCGCGCACACAGACGGACAGACAACCACGCACAACGCACACTCCTGATGCAAGCTACAACGGCAATCACACGCAACCGGCCACGCACGCACGCACAGACACACACACACACACACACGCCGACCACACCCTCTCACTCTCTCGCACGCACACACAAGCTCCCACACCCGCGGAACCATCGCGCCCACACACACACACACACCATCGCACCCACACACACACACACGCACACACACGCACACACACACACAAGCCTAAAACACTCTCAACAACACACGCACGCACTCAGCACACACACGCACACACGCACACACGCAAACACATACACATACGCACCGACTCACACACCCACACACACACACACACACGCACCCACACACACACACAAGCACACACAGAACCACACACGCACACACGCATACACACACGCACACACACACACACACGCACACACACACACACACCGTGTAAAGCACCGGCAAGACGCCAGCGCCCACGAGCCGAACACGCGCGCACGCTCACGCCAACACGCCACCGACTGCCACACCCAACGCACATTCAAGATGCAAGCGTGACGTCCGCACGTATCGCACGCCGCGCGCGCAGGCACGCACGCGCACACACACACAAACACACACACCACGCACACACACACATACACACACACACGCACAAACACGGAGAGACACACGCCCCCACACACATACACACACAAACACACACACACACGCACACACACAGCCACGGAGAGACGCACGCAAACACACACACACACACACAAACAAACACACAAACAAACGCACAAACACAACGACACAACCAGTTGCAAACAACCGCGCGCACACACAGAACACACGAACACACACACACACACACCGGCCACACACACACACAGACACACACGCACGCACACACCCACAACCGCGCCCACACAAAAGCACACACAAACACACACAGACAAAAACACACACGCACACACACACACACACGCACACGCACGGACACCCGCACAGAAACACCCAATCACAGCCCGAACGAAAACATTTGCACAAGCCCTCGCGCGAGCCGCACCGACTGCCACACCCAACGCACATTCAAGATGCAAACGTAACGTCCGCACATATCGCACGCCGCGCGCGCAGGCTCAAACGCGCACACACACACACGCACACACACATTCACACACACACACACACGCGTAGACAGACACACACACACACACACACACGCACACGCGCACACGCACACACACACACACTCACACACACACACACACCACGCACACACACGCACACACACACGCACGCACACGCACAGACACGGGGAGACCTGGATCCGACCCCGTCGGGGAGGCCTGGATCTTTGGACCCACTCTTTCCGTGCCCACGTCGGTCGTCCCGAGACGCGAGTCGGGAGCGGCCAAGAGGGGGGGGTCCAAGAGGGGGGGGTGCAAATCATGACCGGCGGCATGTGCGCGGCCCAGCGGGGGGGCCAGGGACGTCATGAAACAAGAAGAGGCGCCGTGAAATCTGGGGAGATGTCATGGCCCCCGCCATGATATCCCCCCCCCCTAGTCATCACCCCCCTCTTTTCCGCCCCCGAGCGAGGGGGTCTGGGCACGCCGCCCCGGGATGGTGCGGCGCGGGCGTGCTCTCCCGCTCGGCACGGGCGGCGCCCGCGAAGAACAGGCCGCGCGGGGCACCCGCTGGGCGGGCCGCCCCGGGCGTCCGCCCCTGCTTCCAGACGTGGCGCTCCAGGAGGAGGACGGGCCCCCGTTCCACCACCACCACAGGCAGGAGGAGGAGGAGGAGGAGGAGGAGGAGGAGGAGGACCTCCCCATCCTCCCTTCTCCCCCCGCCCTACACACGGTGCAATGGCGGGGGTGGAACATGGGCCCATCAGAAGAGCTGCAGAGAGATGAAGTCGTGCTTGGTTGGGTCGAGGATGCCCGACGCCATCTCCACGCAGTGCTTCATCCAGAGGACCTCGCCGCGGGACGCCCTCTCGCGAAATGCTCGCACGTCTTTGACAAAGTCTGGGTGATCGTGCCAGCCAACGCGAGTGGAATACCTGCCGCTCTTGCAGGGGATTGCCACCTCCATCCGCAGTGGCTGAGCGATGCCGAACGACAGGATGCCAGAACAGCTGCCGAGACGGAACGGTTTGAGCCAAACAGCTTGAGACAGAGTGACAGAGGAAGGAAAGCGTCTGCCTAAACTGGTCGGAAGATTTCGAGCTGTAGGTGGGCTCCGCCTCCGCCTCCTCCTCCTCTTCCTCGCAGCAGCGCAAGTCACATCAAAGCAAGGCAGGGCGTCGCAGCGGAACCTGTCACAGCGCAGCGAAGTGCCAGACAGTGCTTGACGACGCGGCTTAATGCAATGCAGTGCAGTGCAATGCAGTGCAGTGCGACACAGGCGAAGGCGCCCGCAGCGGGTCGAGTTGGCTCGGGCAACGAGCGAACCTGATTGCCGGCGCGCGTGCAGAGAAAAACAGGAGCTACCGCCGGGGGAAGCCGCTGTGCCGGGGCCGCGCTGCAGCTGTCGGAAGCCGCGCAAGGGCTGCTAAATCCGTGGCTGCTAAAATCGACCTCCGGGAAGTTGTCTTCGTCCTTCCGGGAAGAAGCCCGTTGACTGTTTCGCGCGCCGCGCCTCATTCTGGGGAGTTGTTTTTTTCCTTCAGGGAGGGCCGTTTTAGCAGCCACGGTTTTAGCAGCCCTCGCCCAACTTTCGAAGCTGCGCCAGAGGCCGTGCTGCAACCGCAAGCTTCACAAAAGATACGCGAAGCAGCAACACGAGCGCAACAGAATTAAAGGACCCCAGGGACACACAAATAAATACACACAAATAACAGGATTCCCAATATTTCAATATATTTTCTGGCTTTTTGTATTCCCCACCACTTCCCATATTTTCCCGCATTTCTGGGGAATCGACGATTAATTGTGTCTATGTGTTTCTTTCCCTCCCGAATAATGCAAGGACCCCGAGGAGCTCAACCGACGGGGCGACCCGGTAACCCACACGGGTCGGGCGGCTCCGCGCGTGCCCCGCAGCGTCGGATCGTTCAACATCGACCGATTCTGGATCGCCGTCGGCGCTCAGCGTGGTACGCTGGCGGCGGGCGGGGTCGCCGCCAGTCGACGACGCGACGCGAACCTGGCGTACCCGTTCGCGGCTCTGGCGCAGCCGGGACCTCTCCCCGACTTGGCCACGAACCAATCCCACCTACAATGCCGAAGCCTACATCGCCGTTACCTACATTGCCGTTAGCGCGTCTAGAGACCTAGGCCAGAAGAGCATCCTTCAAGAACAGGAGACCCTCCGCTGGCCCGAACTGCAGAGCATCCAAGGGAGTCCCTCGCACAAAAGCGTCAGAGCATCCGACAAGCACGCAGAACACTGGGGTATACCCTCCCCGAACCGACCTCGAGATCTCTTATACCTCGGTCTGGCTGGAAAATCCGTCACGGCAATTCCGTCACGCACCCGCTCGGAAGCGGGCCCGCGGAGAATTCCGCTGCGGGCGGTCCCCTGGGCCCGAAAGCGGCCGGCCGGCGCCCCCCCCATGGTCGGGCCGGACGAAGGCGGGGGATAGGGGAAGGGGGGGGGGTACGAAATCTGCTGCATGCAGCTGGTTTCGGTCCCGCCGAGGGGCCCATTCCTCGATACATGGGCGCCTCTGGCGCCCGGAGGCGCTGGGAAAATCAGCTATACGTGAGCTGATTCATAAACCCCCCTTTACTATTCCCCCCTTTCGCCCAGACCGACATGGGCACCGGAAGAGGCACAACAGCACTATGGCGTGGCCCTGTGGAGGACGGTCAGTGGCGAGGAGGCATCTTGCCAAAGGGGTCCCACGTGTTTAGAGCATGTGAAGCCAGGCTTCTAAAGGTGCCAACGCATGCCTGAAACAAGTTTCGAACATGCCCGAACCGATGCTGGACCGCCTCGGATCCCCCAGCTGGCTCCCTGTTGGAGGAGCTTCTCAGGTGGGACCTCGGCGCGGAGTCGAAACCGAACCGGATCGGCTGCGCCAGGGTGCACTGCAACGCCGTGCGAAAATGTCGGCCCGCATCGGATCGTCGACACATCGGACTCGAATCGGATCTGGCCTCCCAAACACCAGATCGAATCGGATCAATCGGACCGGCATGGATCCTGGAACGGGCGATCGGATGGATCGGATCGAATCTTAGCTGCCCCGTTACGCGCATCCCGTAGCGTCGCGTGTTGACACGGAGCTCAAAGCGCAGATTGAAAAGGTAGGTCTGGCGCGATACGTTCGCCAAGATGTAGGCCGACACGTGCGTGAGACACGTTGAACATGGCACGTGTCTCGTTTCAACACGTGAGCGACGAACAGAAACGGGTCTTACTCAAGATGGCATGGTGACCTCGCGCGGTGGCTTACGCGGACCACCAGCGCGGCACGCTACACTGGAAGCAAGGGCGCCCACTCGCGACCTGACGCGGGCAACTTACGCGCGAATGTCGGACCAGGCGACCCCGTTTTCTTCCGTCGCTCGCGTGCGTACCAGGGCAGCTGAGGGTCGAATCGATGAAACCGAAATGGGCGACGCGGCGACGAAGCTTCTTTCAGGAGGAGAAAAAACACACAGACACAATTAATCGTCGAGACCCAGGAAAATATACAAAAATATGGGAAGTGGGGGGGAAGACGAAAACCCAGAAAATATGCGAAAATATGGGGAATCCTTTTATTTGTGTGTATTTATTTGTGTGTCCTGGGGTTCCTTCATTCTTCGACAGGACCTCGGACCGATCACCTCACTCGGCGCGCGCCCGCGGTCCACGGCCGCGGTCCGGATCCTCTCCCGCGGAGGCCTCCCGCTCCCGCTTGAGCCGAACGTACAGGTCGTTGGGCATAGCGTACTGCCGCACCTTTGGCATGCAGCAGTCCGCGCCACCGCTCGGACGTCCATTCCCCATGCCTTTTATCCACTCCGTGCGTCTATGCTTCCGCCTGATGAGCCGAGACGCTCCTCGATGGCCCTCGCCAAAAGAAACAAACAACACGCCCGAGCGATGCCAAGGAGCTGAGATGGGCGCGGGAGGGGGGCTATTTCAGGGGACAGAGGTTGATCAGTGGGTGCCAAGGTCGGTTATCAAAGGCCGAAAAATGATTCATTGTCCCTTGGTGTGTGGCAGAAACGGCGTTCCTTCCGGCAGAAGTGGCGTCCGTCCGGCAAAAATGGCGTGGCCCCTTCAGGGGGGGGGGGGGGGGGGCAACTTTCATGATCAGTCGCCTGTTGACGATACCCGGGTCCTAGAATCGGCGACACATCGCCGATAGATCGGCGAGAGGCCCCCGATAGCGAATCCGCGCGTTCCTGGGCAGGGTGGGGCCATCGGGCCCCTATCAGCGATCAATGGGCGATTGGAGGTCGATGCATCCCCCCCTGAGCCAATCCCCCCCTACCGTTGCCCCCTGGCTTTTGGAACACATCTCGGCTCTCCGGCGGCCGTTCGGCCGGGCGATCCGGGCAGCCCTGGAACGCTCTCGGCGAGGCGCAGGCTGGAGAACCTCCCGAGGCTGGGAAGCCGCCGAGAACCGCCGAAGATGGGACGCACATGGACATACTAGTACTATATGTCCTCCTTGGAGGCGCGCGTCCGACCCGAACATATAGTATACCCATCTTGTAGTATATCGTTTCCCGAGCGGTGTGGCCAGGAAGCGCCCGCCACGACGCATATACTATAAGATTCCTCGGTGCGCGCGTCGCCCCTGAGGGGGCGACGAACATATAGTATAAGTATATTGGGGTGACGCCGAGAAGACGCCCCGGAAACCTCAAGCCTCGATGCGGAAGCGATGCCCCCGAACCTGGTGCCCGCCGTCCACGTCCAGCACAACGCCGGTGGTGAAGGAGTTGGTGGCGAGGAAGTGCAGCGCCTGCCCCGCGTCCTGCGGCCGCCCCACGCGCTTCAGCGGCAGCGAGTCCGCGGTGGCCTCCAGCATGGCCTCGCGCCTCTCTGGCGGCACGTTCGGGGAGTGCCAGGGGGGGGGGCCACCACTACCCGTCGGTCGGAAAAAAAAGAGGCGGAGAAGGAGATTCTTGAGCGAAGGGAGCCCCACCTCCCCACCTGGAAGTCGTGGGGTGGCGGGGCAGGGGTGCGCACGTGGCCTCCTGCAGAGGCGCGAAGCCGGACGGCGCTGCAAGCCGAGGGGGTCTCCCGCCCGCGCCCCGAGGGCGAGGGCAGGGGGAGGGCCGCTCGACCCTTGAAGCCGGAGGGCGGCCAGGGCAGACTTGGGGCTCGGGCACCCAAGAGTGCAGACGGACCTGGGACAGGAGGAACCTCCGACAAGAACACGAGACCCTCCACCGGCCAAAACACACACACACACACACACACCGAACGTCCAAGGGTCCCCCCCCCCAAAGGATGCACCAGGACACCCGACAACAGCGCCAAGAATATTGGAGCACCCTCCCCGAACCAATCTCGGTCCGGCTGCAGCTACTTCCAACGACCGGCGTGCGGGGGGAGGGGAGGGGAGGGAAGGGAGGGGCGGGTCGGGCGAGGAGAGGAGGAGGAGGAGGCGGAGGAGGAGGCGGAGCAGGAGGAGGAGGAGGAGGCGAAGGAGGAAGAGGACGGGGAGGAGGAGGAGCAGCAGGAGGAGGAGGAGGAGGACCAGTGTAAAACCAAGAGTCATCAACGATGTTGGAATCAACCCTCCCCCAAGCTCCCTCTTCATAAGCCCCCACAACGGTTGATTTCCATTGAGGGAACTGCCTCGTTCGAAGACAACCGTTCCAAGATCCTGAAGCATGCCAAAACATTGTTCTCTGGATTTCAACGCCACGATCAACCTGACTGCTGCGTCGTGACGATCCGGAATCGTGCCAGAGCGCCTTTTTGGGGGGGAGGGAATTTAACACCGCGAATCAACATAACGGCTGTACCTGCGTAATCCTGAATCCTTTCCAAAACATCTGGTACACTGATCATGGGAATCCGTGAAACCCTTGCAAAATTAAAAAACGAATCTGCGCAACGCTAAGGCGAAAACCACATTTTGAAAAAGGACCCCCCGTCACACCGTAAAACTCCTGCAAATGTTTGAAAATAAGGTGCGCGGCGCTAAGGCCAGAAAAACATTGTGAAAACGACCCGCCCTCAATCCGTGAAGCTCGTGCAAATGTTGAAAACGAATGCGCGCGACACTAAGGCGAGAACTACATGTTGAAAACGA